CAAGTATCGTTACTTAGCAACTTTAAAGCACGTGTGTTTTAAAGGCCCTTTTTCGCACGCATTTGAGTGTTTAAAACGGAGATTGTGATTCAGGTATAATAAAAAATCCTTTTCACTGCTTTCCAATGTGCAGCTTTGGGGTTTTCTAACGATTCCGATGCCAGGCGCACCGCATAACTTATGTCGGGTCTTGTCGCTACAGCAAGGTACATCAAACTGCCTAGCCTCACGATACGGAACCCCATCTCTTGGTGTGTCATCCTCCATGATCGCTGCCTCGGATGGCGTTGTAACAGAATTTGATTCATCCATATTGAACCTCTGCAGAATCTTGTTGGTGTAGACCTTCTGTTCTAGAAGAAGAACCACAATTGAGTTTTTTGATCTGTACACCTACAAAATAATTTGCCGAACAAAGTGTAATTTCGAACTGTCTTAAGTTCATCAATAAAACAGTTTATGTTCTTGTCATTTGTTCCGACAATAGTCCATCGTCCACATAAATTTGCTTTAGTCCATATAGACTGCGCTTCAGTCTACACACACGACCAATTCCATCGTCGAAACCATCAGGCTGCTTCATGTAAATCCCCACCTGTAGATTTCCATACAAGAATACAGTTTTAATGGCGAATTGCTTCAGCTGCATCCTTTCGGCCGAAGCAACACTAAGCATCGTTCGTACAGTGTCAAAACGGACCACCGGACTAAATGTTTCGCCATAATCGACTCCGGCTTTCTGCGTAAACCCTTGGGTTGGTGTAATTATAAACACCCATCGATTCTGGATTGGCTGTTGAAGTCGTGCCAAATCTACAAGATTCCACGTGTCATTTTGTCGCAACGAAGCTAATTCTTCATTCATAGCCTCTAGCCATTCCTCCCATTCACTTGTCACCGTGTTCACAGTTCACAGTTTTATCGGCACCAAAGCTGGCATGGAAGTGCAATACATTAACAGAAAGTTGCAGTACCAACATAAAATAAGCATTACAATAGTTACCAACACAAGAATATTTTGTATTTTCAACAGTTTCCAAATACTCCACCTGAAATTACCCAACGTGCCAATAATATATTAGATGATGAGAGCAATGCTCAATACAAAACCCGACGTTGTTGTTTCCAAATGTTTGAAGAGCATTTTTAAACAGCAGTTCTGGAAGGACCTTGCTAAAAAAATCAACCGTTTCTGCGACGGAAAATGTGAAGAAAATCTTAGAAACGCTCCAGATGGTATATATTTAGCAACAAAGGTACATTTTGTAAAGATTTAATTAGTTTTATTGTAGGAATACTTGTTATTCTAGGTCGCACTTGTAATTGGTAGCTTGTCGTAAAAATAAACTTTATAATATAACAATTTCAAACATAAATGATGGAATATTATTTGATCATTTATTTTCGAATTTACCCGGAAATTCTAATCTCCCGCACAAATTCAAACCTATCGCCACATCCGCAAATTCAAAAATTCAAATTTCACCCATAAATTCAAACTAACCGCGACATCGTCACAAAATTGCCCTCATCCACTAATTCAAATTTCCATCCATAAAACTACGCAGCCAATCACAACGTACCATGTGTGATGTCAGAGTGTGAGGGGAGGGGATACTTCCTTGCAAAAAAAAACAAGCTTACAAACTTGTTTGGACATACGACCCCGCGCGCAGCCGGTCAAAAAATAGAAGTAGAAATTTTAAAATTACTTAGTTATCTTGCTTAATAAGTAATAATCCAAACAATCTGGTCGTACAACATTTACCATACTAGACGCACTTATCCCAACAAAAACGCCGACAGCATCTCAACTTCACTTAGGTTCATCACACAGAATTAGATTACAAACAAACTGATTTGATGAATAAGATGAACAATTTGTCGGTGGCTGTTTTCTAAAAAGAAGAGAGCTTCGCTATACTTCACTGTTTCCTTTTTCAACTAGACAAAATCGGACAACGCGCGTTAAACTTCTCGTTGTCTCCCGGTATTAATATAAGTGCTAATTCGATACTCATTTTACGGACTGTATTACTCGTTCCGTAGCTGTGACGTATACATATCTATGTCTCATTTGGCAGGCGTTCCTTCTCTGACGCCATCTCTCCTTTCTCCTTTTCTTTTTCATATCCTCCCTCTTTCTTCTCTTTTCCTTGTAACATCTTCGTAATGTTTCTTCCAATCTCGTATCTCCTATCTAGTTCCAGAAATCCTGTTTGGATTCCCTTAATGTCTTCTTCATATTGTTTCTGTCTGTTCGTCTTTCTTCATTACATGTATTTCGTATCTTTCTTTTCCCATCACTGTTCTGCATAATTTTTTTCATTCGTACACTCCCTATCCTACAACTCTTTCCTTTTCTCCGTTTCGTCTTTGTTCCCATCATGAATTATATATTTGTTCAATTTCTTTTTTTTAATTTACTGCAATGTAATTTATTACCGGCCTCTTTCCCCCCCACGTATTTGCGTTATTCTTCTCCATAACCTTCCACGTTTCTTCTCCCGTCTTTATTTACCGTATTTTCTCTTTAATGTTTCCTTCCCTGTTGTGAATCGATACCACTCATTTTTTCCGACTTTTTTATGGTCCATATCGCCGACAAGGGACACTACGCCGACAATAAAAGTCGATTAAAAGTAATCCGTAAACCATACTTGATAGTAAACTGCTCTGCAGCTTCTTAAAGGGCCCACTGAAGGTCAATAAAGGTTAAAAATTACCTTTGGATTAGCTTGAAAATTAAATAAGGCACTCCAAAAAAGGGTCATTAACATTGAATGGTCTAGAAAGTAAAGTTTGACCTCAAAAATTGAGGTCACTGACCTCTAATAATCTTTAAAATGAAATGACAAAAAAATAGGGTCGTTGACCTATAATCACCTTGAAATCCCCTGACCTTGAAAATGAAACGACACCACAAACATTGGGTCATTGACCTCTGATGACCTTCAAAATGCAATATGGCACCACAAGAATAGGGCCATTGACATTGAAAACGAAATAAGATACAACAGAATTGATGACCTTGAAAACAAAATTACATTGACCAAAATGGGATCAATCAGCTTTGGAGTAAAATGTGGCAAACTTGAAATATAATAAAATAAGGTGATTGACCTGCGATGACCTTGAAAATTCGAAGTCGTTGGATTTTGATAACCTTGAAAATGAAATTACCTCTGAAAAATGGTCCATTGACCTTGAAGATGAAATAAGATACAGCAAAAATGAGGCCGCTTTGATGACTTTGACAATAAAATTAAATTACAAAAAAGGAGTAATTGGCTTTTAATGACCTAAAAGTAAAAAATGTGGTACTGTAAAAAATGGAGTCGTTGATTTTTTGTAATTTTGAAATTGAACTATAACACAAAATAGGGTCACTGATCTCTATGACTGTGAAAACAAATGCCCTTGTACCGTGGACTATTTTCCAAGGTAACATCCACGTGGCAGGTGACCTTTGAACTTCACCTCCTCTTTGAGGTCCTTGTTTCATCTCCACAATTACCTAGTACAAAAATTAACAACATTTTTCGGGATTATATTGATAACTTTTACCCGTAAGTTCAGGGAACTGAGGATTTTTTTAAAACTTTTAGTATATGGAAGTAGAGGAGCGACACCTGGCCAGATAGGCACGACGCCCAAGACAATTGAGTTTTCGCGCATGCGGTTAGATAAAAGTTACGTGGCACGCTTGATTTGTGCTTTCAAACAATATTTTTCATGTCTTGTAATTTTTAAAATTGGTCCACAGGTTTGCAAGGATAGTTTACCTTACCTAACGAATAGGAGTGTTCCAGCGTAGGGGATGATGATAGGGACGGACTAGTGACACGACGTTTAAGGAGCATAAGAATTTTTTAGACTCAAATAGCACTTCTAGGCTCATGTATGATAGAAAGAGGGTGAGATTGCGAACAATAGTGACTTGAAACCACACCTGGAACAGACATAACTAAAGGGCGCGGCGGCGGTATGCAACTAAACAGAAGAATCTCCGTAGCCCAAATAGTCAGTCAGACATCAACTCCTTGGAGACAGCTATCTGGAACCGGGGAGGGTGAAGCAACTTAGGCTAAACAGGGTCCTATCCTTCATTGGGAGGAACGGGCTCTGAATTCAGTTGCGAAAGAAAGGGGGTAGGCACAATGGGCCTCTCGCCTCTGATGTGCCCAAGTGCTGCCCGGTCGGGCTCCCTTGCGAATAGAATAGAATAGTTTCTTTTTGCCCTTTATACGCATGAAATTTAGCGGCATCACAGTCTTTTATCAGTAACCGCAATTTTTCTAACTTGATCATCACGGAAAAAGGCTTCATATGGATTAAAAGAATGCGTTTTCCTTCGATTTATCTACCACAAAAGATTTGTGTTTCCTTCTAGAAAAAATATTACAGCCACAGTGAGTTACAGTTTATAGAACTGGTTTTTTTCCAGTTTACGATCAATCAACAAGGTGTCTTCGTTCTACTATCGTAATCGATGTCATGCACATAGTGTCTTACATTTGCGTAACTCAGTTACTAAGTTAGCAAACGAAATGGAAAATTATAATGATACAACAGAGTACGTATTAGATACGATTTCAACAGAGCAAATATTTTAAAGGGAACTTTATCAAAAGTAACCAAACCATATAATGTATATAGCAGTATCTGTACGAAAATGTGTTTTTTTTTAATAAATTAAAGATAAATATCTGAATTTCCGTCCTGAATTATAAAATATAGGTACTAATATTTATTATCTCTAAATTAGTTTAAACATTACATCAGCTTGCTGCGGTAATTCTGAAACTGACCATAAAAACAACAGTATAATTTCATTTTGTACGTACAAAATACATGAAATGGTAACTGACAGTTTCGTATTATGTTCTACTTTACGTTTTCAACTGGTAATTACCGGACAAATGACCCATTTGCTGTTAATGAAATTAAATCGATTTCATAACTTACAGGTAAAAAACTTGTAATTGTTTTTATTGCAGAACAGGCCGCATTAACGTTACAATTTGTAAAGGGTGGAGTTGGAAACATCCCCTGCAATGTATCGCTTAATCAATTTGAAGATGAAGTACAAACCGTCATTTGGTATAAAGAAATTGATAAAAATAACCCGACCCCGATATACACGTGAGTAAATTTATATCCTAAGTATTTATTAATTTTTTTCAATTAGATATGATGTACGGGATAAAGAAATTGAAAATGGAGAGCACTGGTCAGATCATAAAATATTAGCATCACGTGGATCGTTCCGTTACCAGGACGAACCGGCCAAATTGGTTATTACAAATTTAAAAGAAACTGATGCTGGGATTTACCACTGCAGGGTTGACTTTAAAAAAGGACCTACGTTGAACATTGAAATTAATGTGGAAATAACAGGTAAAGTGTCACGCGAGCTATTGATTTTATTGCCGATTTATCCAATTGCAGTTTCGCCCGAAAAAATAATATTAATGGACGATGTTAGTGGGGGATATATCGATAACTACGTACTTGGGCCGTATTCAGAGGGAGATTCGGTTAACGTTACATGTATAGCTTTAGGCGGGCGTCCGAAACCGAACGTGACTTGGTGGAAGGAAAACGCAATACTGGATGACGTATCTGAAATTGCCACTCGAAAGAGAGTGAAAAATACACTTTATTTGAATCATTTAGATAGAACGGATGTCCATGCCGTATACACCTGCCAAGCATCTAATAATAATAATGTTCCCCCGCTGACTGCCGCTGTAACTCTGGACATTTACCGTAAGTACACGACGCTCGCTACTAAAACAAAGAGATGCCAGTAATCACCTTCTGGCGGGCTTTGAAATAATGAAAGAGGCGAAAATTCTATTGTGTCTTATTGGCTAAAAATATTAAAGCCATTACTAACATGACCAGTTATAACCCAAAATTCTTTGTATTTATTTTATTTCGTTTCTTTATGAGGAACGTCAAGAGATAATATTACTGATAAAAGTGGATTTTTGATAAAATTAATGTTTATTCGCCACAAAGGAGATGTAATTAACTCGCAGATTGATTTCATCGACTCTCCGAAATCTAATACAAATGTTATGATGGGAGTAGTAATGAAAATCCATTTACTTTATGTTCTCATTTTCCTTTTTGGAAAAAGTGCATTATTCTTAATATGCACTTACATTTAATGTTCATGAAATGTGAGTTAATGCATTACCCGTAAGCACCGTAAGAAAAGGTAAATGAAAATTGGTACTTCAGCCTTCTATTGCCGTTTATTATCTCATATGTACCGATTACATCAGAATTTAAAACTGTACAATCCACACATAAATTACTTAAAGAAAAAGTTAATCCGAATATGGTGTTCACAAATCAGGCAAACAAAATGAGAAGTGATTATTGAATGTAAGGGTAAAGAAGATGCTAATAAACTAACTAAAGCAATCTCTAATAATGCAGAAGGAATACTGCAAAAAAGAGCTTTGCAAGAGTAATAATAAAAAGAGTTGATAAAAATTTTAATAAGAAGACATAATGGACAAATTAATTACGTGTAATAGGGATATTGTCAATAAAGTTGGTGGTGCAGAAAATTTTAAATATAAGATCAGAGAAATTCAGAAGGGGAGGAAAGGATTCTAATCCTTTTATTGATATTATTTTTGAGGTTCGACCAGATTTTAGAAAATTAATCATGGGTAAAGAAATTTGTTTTGGGTAGGAGTACGCACATTGTTGAAGATCATTTGTCTATATTAACATGCTATAAATGTTGGGGATTCGGTCATATGTCTAAACATTGCAAGGAAACTGCAGAAATGTGCGGAAGATGTGGAAAGAAAGGTCACAGGAAGCGACTACTCCTTGCTGTCCTATGTGTGACAAATTCAATATTAGTAGAAATAAGTATTTTACATATGGATCATGAAGTCTTTAGTACATTTTGTACTTCAATGGACAACCAATTAAAAGGTTTAGGAACTAGAATAAATTATGGCTGAAAAAATATTAATTACATTTGGACAATTAGTAGGTGAAAGTAAAGCGGTTACAAATAATTTGGTTTATTTAATGGGTAAAAATAATAGTAATGTATGTATAATTCAAGAACCACATGTGTGCAAAAATGAAATGATCGGATTTTCATCAAAATTTAGTGTTATTAATGCATCATCTTTGGAAGCACAACAAAAATTTAAATCTTGCATTGTATATCAAAATTTAGAAGTTACAGCAATTTTAATAGAACAATTATCACAATAGAAATAAATTTTAAGGGACTCTCAAAATTATACATTGTTTCTGTTTATCTTCCTCCTGATAATAATACTGATGAAATTTATGTAGAATTGTTTCAAAATGTACTAAACAAAATTAGAAATAATAAGATAATTATAGCACGAGATTTTAACGCTAGTCTAGTCTATGGTGCAGTGATATAGAAAATAACAAAGGAGAAAAATTAGCTGAAATTTTAACTGATTAATTATGAGATATTGAATAATGATAAAAATCCTACTTTTGTTGGAAACAATGGTAGCAGTAACATAGATGTTACTGCTGTCTGGGAATGTATTTTTGATTTATGTGTTAATTGGAAAATTGAAGACGTTGAAACTTTATCGGACCACAAACTTTTAACATGGAACTTAGAAAATAATTTAGAAATAGAACCTCCTGAAATATTCAAATTTTGTACTAAAAAAGCTGACTGGGAAAATTTTGAAAATACACTAACGTTAAGTTTGCAAAATTTAAAATTATCATTAAATTGTAATAGTAATTTGAATGCGGAAGAATGTGCCAAAATTTTAAATGACAAAATAGTAGAAACTTGTCAATTTAATATATTCCTAAAAAGAATTTTTATACAAAAAGTGTCCCTTGGTGGAATCAAAATTTAAGTTTATTAAGGAAAGAAACTAACAGATTGAGTTGCAAAATTTAAAAAAATAGTACAATTCCAGGAAGAATTGAAATTTTAAAAGAACGTAGATGTCAAACCCAGTTTCATAACTAAAGGAAATTATTATTATTTTCATATAAGAACAATAATAATTTGAGGTATGTTAGTGAATTATGAAAGTCGAAGAAATGTTATAATTTGATGTCCATGAACCTAGCAGAGCATGGTCAGCAGAACACAATCAAACATATTGCATAATTAGGTGCTAATTAAGTTCCCTATTCCCGAATTAAATGCTCCTTTTTTTTTAAATTATTACATGTTCTGCCACGATCATAATTTAAAAAAAAGGAGCATTTAATTCGGGAATAGAACACTTTACTTACTTTATTCGGGGATAGGGCACTTAATTAGCACCTAATTATAGTTAGTTCACTTTTCATTTTCTTGGGTTTTAAAGGTAGTGCTCTGCTGAGTTCATAATGAACCTGGCAGAACATGTAATAATTTAAAAAAAAAGGAGCATTTAATTCGGGGATAGGGCACGTAATTATAGTTAGTTCACTTTTCATTTTCTTGTTTTTTTGAGGTAGTGCTCTGCTGAGTTCATAGATGAACCTGGCAGAACATGTAATTATTTAAAAAAAAAAGAGCATTTAATTCGGGAATAGGGCACTTAATTAGCACCTAATTATGCAATATGTTTGATTGTGTTCTGCTGACCTTGCTCTGCTAGGTTCATGGACATTATAATTATGTCTGCACTTATTGCGTAAGTAAACAAGATATCCTAGTTATTCAGTATCCGTCTCGGTATCGCTCTCTGAAGTTGAGTCAGAAACAAATATGACTAATGGCCGGACAACCTAAAATCGTTTTTCAATATCTCATCACTCCACCATGAACTTTTCGACGTGTTTGATGCATTTCCGCCAGTATTCGCTATCAATTATTTACAATGTTTCCATCCAAATGGGTTTAAATGATTGCCATTAAACTTTGCATTATTTCGCCCCACATTTTCATTGTAATGTTCTTTGCAGTTTCCCCATACCAGTTCGATGGGGTTAAATTGGAGATGGTATGGAGGAAGCCGTAACACCCCGTTGCCGTATTTGTTGGCTATTTGGTCGATTTCGTACACCTTTGATTTCGCATTATCCGCAACTAATTGCAATAATTCATTTTTAAACATGGTAGGTTGATAGAGAATGTTGTGTCTTTGTTGGAGGATGTATTTGTAATTTTTTTAATAAGTTTTGAATGATAACTGACGTTGTCCATAGCTTAAGTTTGGAATTAAACTGTCTTCGAACCATTTTGTAAATAACTCTGGACACATATCGCCTTGATAGCCGGCACTTTGCGATTTTGTAGAAAATAAAAGTCGTGCATCAGGAACAAAGCGATGTTCATTACCTGCATGTAGTACTATAAACCTTGTGCCAGTCTTTCTTATGCGAACCCCGATTCAAAATCCACCTTTCGTCTAAGAAAACAGGTTTGCAGAGTTCTCCTTCTTTGTTTTTATAATATTCTCTTAAAAATCGTACACGATGGGCAGAAAAATGGGATTGGTCTTCTACCATCGTCCAATTTAAACGAAAAACCCATGACTCCTTAAACTAGTTTTACTAAATTCAACAATTTCGCTCTATGCTATTCCTTTTTGTTAATATGTGAGTAAAGTGAGCGAACTACGAAAGGCAAAAAGCCACGGCGGCCGTTAAAACACTTCCTTATTCTTTTAGTTAAAATACACAAAATTCTCTTATCCAAAGTGCGCATCTGCAACATCTGTCCACAAAATTAACTTCACCTTTAAGCGATAAGCACAACTATTATCGTAACGCCAGATAATCTTAAAATTACAAATTCTACAAACACCTAATGCAGTTCTAACAATTGTCCCTTATCCCTTAATTTTCCAAGAATAGAATGCGACTATTTAAACAAAAAATTAGACTATGTAAATTAACACAACAATACTTTAAAATAACTCACATTGTATTTCGTTACGGTAAAAAGACATAAGGCTACCTAGTTTAGATAAAAAAAATAATGCTTGCATAAATTTATTCAACATCGCCAATGAAAAGCTAAAATTATTTTTGTTTTAAGAACCTTAATTCACTGATAATTAATAAACCAAGGTAATAAGAGCATTGGCAACGCCTGTTTAGTAGAATTAGTTTGGATTTCAGCTTTACATTAAAGGATGTCTCAAATCTCGTTTCACTATTCTAAGATCGACATAGCTCTTTAGGTTTATGATGCTGAAATTATTGTAGTTTGAGAACTACTATGCACATGTCATTCTATTGCGAAACTTGGAAAATGGTTGCGCGAAGATAAAATGTCAATGTCTCCAACAGCAATATTTATGTCGCTAGTAATTTATTTATTAAATTTTCGAAAGGGGATAAATTTATCTTGATATTTATATATGAAGTGAGATTATGTAGGATTCAAAGGTAAAATATAAACGTTGAAACACCTCTGGTGTATCGCTTCTGTATGGGTATTAGTAAAAATTTGCATATCCCAATTTTCCTATCTTCATTTTTAGGAGACCATCAGCGGATTAAATCTGGCTATTCTGAATAACACCCCACTCTAATTTTCCACCGGTACAAATACAGCAAAATTGTGAAATAAACTCATTGTAGCGGAATTTTCCTGGATTAGTTGCACGAAAATTTAACATACTCTCTCAGTACACTGCATCTTGTATTTACCCGAAGACCGGCCGTCGTTAATGAAACGTAACTCGAGCTTCGATTTAAACCTAATTAACGTTAAAAATGCTTGATTAAAAGTGAAGTAGTAATAAAAGTTAAATATATTTTCACAGCAAAACATTCAAACTTTTGATGATGAAATTTTCCTTTAGGGCTTTGGAGTTCGTTTAAATTTCAAAGCATAATAAAATATTCTTTAGGAGATGGACGTAAAACCAACACACAGAAAGTCAAGAGAAACCTTTATATTAGGGAATTTTCTTAATTCTTTTTTATAATAGTAAAAGTTGGGAGCGGGTTCTTTTTAATTCGGTACAACTGCGGGCACATCCGCGTCATTCTTCAGCCTGTATATTTACAAATAAAACTTTATAATTATCTTCAGTCGTTCTAAATTCATTTTTTAATTCACTCCGACGAGTACTTCTTCAGTTGATTTATATAATACAAAAAATAATACCGGGGCATCAGTGAGTTCATGAAGCATTAACCGAAGCATTTTGCATATTGTATGACTCGATCTCGAGCTATGAATATCAAATGAGGAAATAAGGGTACATAAAATCAGTTTCGCAGCTGCCAGTAGACAAGACGAAACAAATCAGAACGATTTTACGAGGCGAACAACGTTATTGCAATAAATCCGATCTTGGAAGGGTTGGAATTTGTAATAACCGACAGAATAAGCAATAAGAGGAAAAAGATTGTAGATCCTTCGATAACCAAGAGTTCGGATAAACCTCGGAAACGGTACGCGAGTGGTTTAGAAATACGTTAAGGGTATCAAATCAACCCCAGCGCCTGCATTTGTGTTTTTATATCAATTTTTTACATTTATATAAAAAAAGAAAGCTACATAGGCGCACACTAATGATGTGCTTTACAGTTCGTCCTTTGTGGGCAAAAATATGGGGAAAGCAAAGAGTACTTTCAGCAGGAAACACTTATGAAATAAGTTGCGAAGTTATTGGATCCCGTCCTCGCCCTTTAATAACCTGGTGGTTAGAAAGCGTGCAGTTAGTAAACACGAGAGAACTGGTGAGTTTTATATAGCTACAATTAAAGCGCGACACGGTACAAAGCAATTACAGTTATTCACCGTAAATTCATTTCTGTACGTTTCAGTCTAACGCGGTTAATTATTCAAGCACCAGCTTTTTGACGTTTAAACCATCAATGGAGCAAGATAATCAAATAATCACGTGTAACGGGGTGCATCCCATTTTCAATGCTACAGTGGAAGACAGTTGGAAACTAAAAATTCATTGTAAATATGCCACAAGTTAAAGCCTCTTTAACACCCTCCTCGTAGATGTACCGCTGAGCACTCTGGCGTTCGACTCGGCAGTAAATCGAAGCGACATACGTGAAGGCATGGATGTGATGTTGCACTGTGGCATAACCGCCAACCCCTGGGTCTACACAGTCAACTGGAAATACAATGTAAATCTAAACAATGTTACAAAATAAAAGAATTTAATTTTCTTTTCAGGACAAAGCAATATACAATAATCCAGAAATGGGCACCATAATAACAAACCAAAGTTTGCTAATAAAAAATTTAAGCCGATCTAACAGCGGTAATTTCACATGCGTTGGAACGAATTTAGAGGGAATCGGGGAAAGCAACGTCTTACGTTTGGATGTTAAGTGTAAGTACATAGGACAAATTTTATTACTTTATTATTTCTTGTGGAAACCAAGCTGTCCTTCACGGGTATTCAATTGTTTACGATATGGTAGACTTTTCTTTTACTACCTCTTCTAAATATTTTATATAGATTGATAAAAATTTTATGAAAATGGGGTATTTCGGTTGGATACGAGCGTTTTGCTTAAATAAAACCTTGTTGCCGAATTTAATGCCATATAATTCATAAGAATGAAGCAATTCTTCAAAGAGGCTCTAAAAAGTAGTAGTAAGAGTGTTTTCAACGAAATGTTGGAGATGTACGGTTCTGTCTACGATACGCGAACTTTGTTACCTGGTTTAAACAAGTATATTTCTTCGACAATTCCTGCTTGTCAGAGACTAGAGGAATTGCTGTTGTATTGCAATGGTACTTGATCTTACAGAGTCAACATAATATTGAATACGTGCGTGTAAGTCACTCTTTCTTTACTGGATACTTTAGCATGCAGCAATGAAGCACCAATTTGTTGGACGCGGATTCTAGTGGATATTTGTGGGTGGTATATTTTTTAGTTGCAGGAGCCTCCAAAATACTTCGATAGAATTATGTATGACACAATTCAAGACCGAAAAACGCTCATAAGCAACTGAACTAATTTAAATGGCACAACTACTACGTAAAACAAAAAATGCGGAAACTAAAACACCAAAATTTAGAGAAAGTTATTTCGTTCTTACACAATCTTTACAAACAAGTGAGTCTCACTTAGAATGAATGTTATTGCTGCCTATCAGACAGCACTCGTAAATAAACTTCATGAATGCCGGACATCAAATAATAGACTACAGTACCTTGTTGCGCGGGAAAGGCTTTCAATTGGTTGAGGGTCTGCCTTCTAATTTCTCCGACAACAGGAAATGCCTTCAGCAGGTGATCGTGTGCTTTAGATATAAAAGCTTCCCTTCGGAAAGTGATTAGAGGACTGCTAATCCCTACATTGGATTTTTACGGAATGAGACAGTGGACAAAAACAAATTCATTTGAATGCATCGCCATCACAGCCATCTTGATTAAGCAAGATCTAGCTACCCGTGGATGTTTTGTTGAGAAAGGAATGTAGAACTTTAGCCAGTAGCTTCTACATCTAGCGTACTATGGAAGTTCTGATAACAGATTCCGTTTCTCCGAAAAAAGTACCCATAGAAGGTGTCAACGGGAACCGTCCATTTCCAACCGTTTAAACTAGGGAAAGTGAAAACAAAAATTTTCAGTTTTTCAGTGATATCTCAGCTTTTTTCAAAGATTTTTCAAAAACTTTAAATGCGATTTTTTAGTCCCAAAATTGGAAAACTTTGCCCCCATTTAACCTACACCGTATCTCTCACCGTTGCGGAGATCCGTATGGTGTGCCACGTATTTGAACCACCCTGTACATAAAAAATACAAATAACGCGACCCGTTACAATATTTATGATACCAGTTTGACTATTATGGTTTTTGAGTTAGAATAGAAGTCCATCTTCACACAAATACTCGGCGACAATCAATGGATTAGAGTTCCGCGCTTGGTATTTTTTAATGCTTTTCAAATCTTCGTCAAAAATATTGCTGTGTAAAAAATGTCCGTTTGGGACGTTGTTTGGATCAAGGCAGTTGAAATGAATTCGGGTTTGTCATCAAAATTCTTGCTAATCAATTTCGTTCGGATGCTTTCCGATTTAACACAAAATGTGTTCGTTAATGCGTTTGTGACAGTTTTAATTTGATTTGATTTTCGTTTATTTTAGAAAAGATAAAGGTAGGTAATTGTTTGGAGATAATTCTAGGAAATTTTTTATACGTGCAAATTTGCGTGTCAGCGGGGAGTCCGTCGTATTGGTTTATTTCGTTATATGGATTTATGAGTAGTTACCAAATCGAGTCAATATAAGTAGGGAAAATCGTTTAAATACGAAAGTTTCGAGGTTTAAAGTTGCTGTTCAGCTGAAGTCCCTTAAAGTGGCAACAACACGAGTTGAAAAATGTATGCAATACATTTTTTTTAAATAAAGGTAATATTTAATAAAAGAGTTACGTCACCTACGTAGTTGGTCACGTAAGAATACGTTCGAATTGAAGTCATCTAAATTTATACGTATCAATAATATTTAATAGATACATTTTGTTGTTTTATGCCATGACAATAAAAAAAAGTATCGCATTTTATAAAATGTATGTTTATTTGACGTGTTCGAATTTTACTATCCCGTATACCAATTTTAGTATCTCGTGAATCTTCTTTTTATCACATTCTATTCTGTTGTTCTGTCTATTTTTCAAACGATTACACAGAATTTTAATTTAACTTAATGAATAATGAGCTTTTACTAATATTAAAAAAGGTAAAAATCCAAAAAAGTGTACCATTAAAATTCTAATTTTTTTAACATGTTCAGAACCATGGGAATGCGCAACGTTCCGTTTGGGAATTTGTTTTACAAATATTACACAGGGTGCCCGTTTTTGGAGCGCCAACATGGGGATCTCGGTTAATAGAACAGATGCAGTGTGTCTAAATTGGGGCAAATTTTCCCCAAGTTTTGATTTACGCCTAAATTTTGTTGGGAAACGGCCAAATGCATTGCATTTGTTCTTCCTTCGGACATTATTACACCAGGCCTGCTGGCTTTCTAGTTTTAATTAAATAAAAGTGATACTGTGACGGTTACTTTGATTTTATTATAAGATTTGGATCGGTGTATGAATTTTGGTTGGTTCGCTCGTGTCGTCGTTACTGTCGGGTTCTTGTAGAGGTAGTAAAAATGGCGTATTGCAGTGAACATGGAAAGTAGGTGAAGGTGGAAAGACATTGACTTTCAAGGTCATCGGAGATCAACGACCCAATTTTTATTGTCATGTTTCACTTTCAAGATTACCAAAGGTTAACGATTGCGGAGCCACGTTTCACTCACAAGGTCATGGAAGGTCAATGGCCTTATTTTTGTCAACTTATTTTATTTACAAGGTCATTGGTCTGATTATTGCGGTGTAATATTCTACTTTCAAGGTCATTAGAGGTCAATGATCCCTTTTATGTGGTGTCATTTCATTTTCAAGGAAAATCGGAGATCAATTTTTTTTGTGACATCAGATGTGCCATATTTCACTTTCAAGGTTAGCAATGTTCCATGACCTCCATTCTTTGCGGCGTCACATTTGATTTTCAAGGTCATCTATATGGTCTCTGTTTTAGACTAGTTCAAAGATCACCTGCTACGTGGCTTTTCAGGGAAATGACCTTAAAAAGTAAACTAAGATGAAGTTCAACGGTCGATCGGCACCTGGCAATGAATGGGAAAGTGAAACTCAGATGTCGATTCGGTCGGTCACTCTTTTCGGTTGCCTCGTGAAAACCTCGGAAAAAGAGTCAAAGCCTTGTTCGATAGATAGTTTGTCCCTAATAACACCTCTCCCTATGTTCAAATGTCAAGCGGAAAGTAAGTCCACGCACCATTCGGTTCTTCACGAATCAAGTCAGGTGTTTGGTATCATATTTGATTTTCAAAGAATTTTCAGGTAATCAATTACAAGTTTTGGTAATTTTTGGGAGTGGTAAAACTCAAAAGTTGCTATCTCCTGGCGGTGACCTTACGAATCAAGTCAAGGTGAAGTTTAAGAGTTGCTTAGGCGCTTTTGAAAAGTAGTTCAAGGCTATCGACAAAAGGTCGCTCACCCCACTCCTGGAGGTGACATAGGTGGCAAGTGACTAGTCCAAAACCGACCTTATAGATGACCTTGCAAATGAACACACAAACTGAGATTATTGTCATTCGCTGGCCTTAAAATGAAATTTTACCCCGCAAAGATAGTGCCATTGACGTCCGATGACATTGAAAGCGAATCCTCAATAATAATAGGAACAAAACCGGACGTAGGATAGAACCTTGGGGAACTCCACTTACCACTTGTTTGGGACTACTTGGGGTATCATTGCATAAAACCACTTGCTCTCTATCCGCAACAAAACATTTTAGTAATGACAAACATACTCCACGAATCCCGTATAATTCCACCTCTTCAAATAAAATGGAGTGTGAGACCGGGTAGAACGCCTGTCGATTGTAGAATAATAACAGTGAGGGTTCGTCATCCTCCCACATTTATTTATCAATGGGTCACTTGTTCAAAATCGTATTTGGCGCCTCGCTGTCTGACTATGGTTTCGAATTACACACTGAAAATTAGTCGTGTTCTGTTACTTTTGCAACTCACCAAATTAAATAAAGCTCCATAACAAATAAGCCGACATGTGTTTGAGTAACCGAGTTCAGAAGACGGTTCAGATAGATTCGCGTTTTGGCAGTCGAGCTAAAAGGAGTTTAATGCATTCAAAGAGATTCAATCGACGTGGTCAGAATAAAGTCCTGAAAAAAGGGTAACGTCTTGTTAGTCGTGTTGATCAAAGGACGGCCTAAATAAATTCATAGCGACCTAGTGGTCAAGTTAGAAAGTTGTGAAAAGTTATTTTTCTTAATGAAAAAAATAGCTTTTTTCTACAACTGTCAAAAAACCTATCATTTTCTGACGAATTTCGAAACGCGAAGTATTAGATTTTTAAACGGTTAATTAATAAGTAAGGTTGCCCTTGACAACGTGCGCGAAATCGTCAACAGTGAAAAAAAGCATTTCGCGCACGTGACAAAGTTGAACTTAAACAGCAAATTTAATTAACAATCGGTTCAGTTGTAGAATAGTTATTTATATAACAAGAGCGCGAAGTTCAATTTCGCGCATTGAGACTGAAGGTATTTTGACGAGGCGAAGTCGAGTTAAAATATCAGTCAAATGCGCGAAATAACTTCGCGCTAGCGTTATATACAATATTTTTTCTACAACTGAACCGATTGTTAATTAAATTTGCTGTTTAAGTTCAACTTTGTCACGTGCGCGAAATACTTTTTTTCACTGTTGACGATTTCGCGCACGTTGTCAAGAGCAACCTTACTTATTAATTAACCGTTTAAAAATCTAGTACTTCGCGTTTCGAAATCCGTCAGAAAATGACAGGTTTTTTTGACAGTTGTAGAAAAAAAATATTGTATATAACGTTAGCGCGAAGTTATTTCGGGCATTTGACTGATATTTTAACTCGGCTTCGCCTCGTCAAAATACCTTCAGTCTCAATGCGCGAAATTGAACTTCGCGCTCTTGTTATATAAATAACTATTATGTACACCTTGTCCGCCTTGTTCGTCTACCTTGTGGTATCGATCTGAAATTCTGGTAAAAAATGCATGTAATAATAGCTCCTGTAAGACAAAATCTCTCGTCTCCATCTCACCCTGTCAAAAACCTACGGGTAAAATGCGCGTTGTCAATCATGTATTGCTACAGATATTGCTGTGTAGAAATACTTTTCTATTGCCAGCAAAGGTGAATATATAGGGCACTTGAAAGCAACTCTTTACTATACCGAAGGAAATAATTCAAATGTTGCTTTTGTGACGGCATCAAAAGGAATGAAACATTTTAATCCTAGCAACGTTCCGAAAGGAAGAGAGACGCCATTCAAAATTGTAGGCGGTGAACGTGTCAGGCGGCATTACTGGAATTATCGAAGGGCCAGTGCCTGAACGAAATGTAGTTTTAAACTAACACTAATCTAGGGTTTTAAAATGCAGATGCTGCAGTATGTCGACCGGGTCAAACTACAATTTACCGAACCTCCGTGCAAAACCGCGTAGAAATTCGATGCGAGCTGGAAGCTAATCCGCCAGACGTGGAATTTACGTGGAAATTTAAATACAACGACGGCAATATAGTAAATCTTCCAGAAAATTTCATTACTTCAGAAGGTACCGTCAGTACTATATATTATACTCCTTCATCTGATGATGATTTTCCAACTTTAATCTGCAACGGAAAGAACAGTATAGGAGAAACCGAGGATGCTTGTATTTTTCATCTTTTACCAATCGGTAAATCACTTTCAATCCTATTTTTATGGCCCTTTATCGATTCCAAGTTTCAGATTTGCCGGAAGCACCGTCGAATTGTAAAGTAACAAAACAAACCGAAAGTTCCCTGCACGTAGAATGTATTGATGAATTCAATAGAGGAATACGTGGAGAATTTATTATGGAGGTGTACGACGCACAGACAGGTAAATTAGTTCGCAATGTCACGTCTAAGCATCCCACATTTGTGGTTGGGGAATTGGAATCGGGCATCGGATTTGATATTGACTTATACGTATTGAATAAAGATGGGAAAAGCCTCGTGACGCGTCTTCCCACTTTTACTCTTAATAATGACCAAGCTGGTGAGGTTTTACCTCTATGAGTATTTTACAATTATTAATACACCAACATTTTCAGCCAATCTATTATTACTGCCGTCCATAACAACTTTATTAGGGATGTTAGCGGGAGTCGTCGGAGTACTTATATTATTAGCCGTCATCATTGTTGTGGTAATTCGCAGTAGAACACCTAAAGGTTGCAACGATTTTGATGATAACGAGTTTCAAGATTCAAGTGGACGATATATGTCTATGAGGAGCAGTAAACTCACCAATAAAACTGATTCAAATAGTTATGATAGTTTTGATACGGATAGCAGAGACGTAACTCTGTAATAATAGAGTAGACGGATTTTGAAATAAGAAAACTGTGATAATAAAATTAAACTACCAACCTGTAATAAATGGAAATTTGCGTTTCAAATGCATTTATGCTGTTCTCGAAAGCTTATTTGGCCATTTATATTTCTATTCGTACAATATTAATTTAAGCAATTATTAAAAAAGCCAAAAGTATATAATATCGTGTTTTATCTTTGTAATATTACGTTCGATTGGGGGTTTTCCATTTCCCTCACTATTTGTACTTCATCGAATGATTTCGCTGTTCTCAAGGTTGAGCACGTCCAAATAAAGATGTAATTTATGCTTATGATCATGTTTATTGAAATTACCGATCCCAAGATATTACAATCTCGAACATTTAACTTCACCGCCAAATACCAATCCCAAAACGGCTAGCATTGCACCAATAACTACTCTCTGGAACCGACAATCGTTCTCATGAGGACAGATGCGTGTAACGAGCACATATTAAAATGTACGTAATGATTAAAACTACAATAATCAAAAACATGTTTAATTAAGTGTGTACCAGAGCTTAGGGTGGGTGAGTAAAACTACAATGCCAAAAAACCCAAAACTGATTTCATTGCCGGCCGTGAACAAGAAAACTAAAATAACATTGCATAAACAAAAAAATCTCCCTACAAACCTAACAGCCCCTTACCTAAAACCAGGCAGCGTGTTACCAAAATTAACAATTTTGTCCCAGCCGCAACCCACAGGATTTAAGTATTCTTAACCTCAAAAAACCAAGAAAATGAAAAGTGATCTAACTATAATTAAGTGCCCTATCCCCGAATTAAATGCTCCTTTCTGCCAGGTTCATAATTTAAAAAAAAGGAGTATTTAATTCGGGAATAGGACACTTAATTAGCATCTAATTATAGTTAGTTCACTTTTCATTTTCTTGGGTTTTTAAGGTAGTGCTCTGCTGAGTTCATATGAACCTGGCAGAACATGTAATAATTTAAAAAAAAAGGAGCATTTAATTCGGGGATAGGGCACTTAATTAGCACCTAATTATAGTTAGTTGACTTTTCATTTTCTTGGGTTTTTGAAGGTAGTGCTCTGCCGAGTACTTAATATGAACCTGGCAGAACATGTAATAATTTAAAAAAAAAGGAGCATTTAATTCGGGGATAGGGCACTTAATTAGCACCTAATTATGCAATATGTTTGATTGTGTTCTACCGACCTTGCTCGTAATTTTTACTTTTTGTGTCATTTCATAGAGAATTTTTTTTCTGATTTCAAAAATGTACCTTCATCGATTGTAACACGTTCATTAATGCAATGGTCGGTATTTTGACTCCTCAAGCACCCATCATTTCAATGACCGAGTGGATTATCTCGGGTTCCTTCTGTCTTTTTCTGTTTTAGAATAATTGCCGGAAGCGCCTGGGCAGAGCTCTCTTCCTATGCTGGCCATTTATTCATTAAAGGTAAGATGGTAATAATTATTTTATGGGATACTTCTACTTTCATTATCAGCGCCATTTTTTCATAATTTTTTTTTGGGAGTTGTTTGTAAAGTATTGTAAAGCCGTAACTCAGGTAATCAATCACGAATTAAATAGCGATGTCAAGTTTAATTTTGTAACAAAGTTGAATTTTATTAATTTTAAATACACCAAGGAAAGTTGAATTTTATTAATTTTAAATACACCAAGGAACCGAAATATGCAATAATATACAGGGGGTTCTATTAACAAAGTGCAACTTTGATATAAATCACCCTGTATAACAATTGTAATTTCGTTGAAAATATTTTTAGGTTGTAGCCTTGAGTCCTTCAAGATGCTTCGACAACGAATCTTAAGTATGTGCGTTGTTAATACACCACTAATGTTCCACCCACGTACTAATGTCCCCCTATACAGGGTGTTACATATTAGTATGTAAAAAAAATTGGGTAGTAGAGGGGATAAAACAAGTAGTTTTTCCAAATAAACCGAGGGTCCAACGTGTTTCGTTTGGGAGTGGTGAAATTTGCATTTCTTCTTTTTTTTTTCTGTGACGATAAGAGTTAGAAAGACTGGGGGCACGTCTTTGAATAGGTTTTCGGGTATGCTCTTTCCGAAAGGGCGCCCCTAATGGCGGTGCGAAAAAAATTCTGATTTCGACGAAATTTGGTATTTGGGGGTTTTTGAACGTGAAAATCACGAATATGAAATTAGTTTTTGAAAATTCCAAAAAAATTCCATTGCAATTCTTGGTCGTACAACGAAAATGGAGAGAGTCACGAAATTCGTTGTGTACATACTTGATGAGAACAGTTTTTTTTTAAATAACTTCAAAACGATAAAACTGTTATTATTGAACATCATACGAAGCATCGGCAAAACAATAACTTTATTTTGAAGTTCAACAAGGTAAACCTAAGCACTTCCACATCAGTTCCAAGATCCTAGGTGTAATTATCGACAATCATATGTCATTTGTGGATCACATTAACCTAATATGTATTAAACTTAACAAGGCGTTTTTGTGCTACTAAACCTAAAAAACACATATAATGAGCAACAACTTAAAGTCGTGTATTACGCGAATGTGCACTCGGTCATCAAATATAACATAATAGTGTGGGGTCAATCATCTCAAGTTAACAGGGTTCTTATCATACAAAAAAGAATTTTAAGACTAATGTACAATATTCCTTACGGTCAATCCTTTAAAACAGTGTTTAAAACAACCTTACAGTGCGACAAGCATCTACATTTTACAGCTACTAGTGCACACCCATAATATCAAACAATCACTTCTGAAGAACCCCATGGTTCATACACAAAACACAAGTACAAATATAAATGTTCACATTGAAAGGCCAACGCACGAGTTCTACAAAAAATCTCCTAACTACGCAGGGAGTTTCTATATAATTTACTACCAGCCACTTTAGTTAACAATCAGCAAACTATAAAGTTCAGAAATGATGTAAAAGAGTTTCTAAGTCAAATACAGCCTTTATTCATTTCAGGAATTTGTTACGGCGTGCTCTCCACTGTGATATTTGATTTTTATATGTGATATTTGTACCTTTTTTAAAATCTAAATTCTAATACAAACCTTATTTATATGTATACATAATGTTTGTGATTTAAATGACGATGTCAATATTTCTTTTGAAATAATCGACAATAAATAAAATCAAACAAGAGTTATACTCATTTGAAGATTGGACCTTCGGGTCACAAAGTGTCCCCCGCCTACTAGTGAGTGATCTAATTTCACATGTAGTTAATTGAAAATGTCGCAAATAACAAAAAATAACGATTTAAGTCGATATTATGATTAAATGATCATAAAATCGATATGTCGATCATGATATTGAAGTCTGAAAATTCCAAAACGATGTAGGTTGTGCGTGGCTGCGGGTGGTGGGAAAATGCTATTTAAGTAGAGTTTCATTACAATCAATAAGCATTATTCCACATATCATAATATCGACTTAATTCCAACAATTTAAAACCTAAAATTTAATGCCGTAGTTTTACCAACTGATTTGTTTGATAGTGGCTATCATTCACAACTTTGAAAAAAATAATATCTAATCCAGGAACTACACAAAAAACTATGAAAAAAAATCACAAAAAATTGCCAAGAATATATCTACAACATCTACATCAGGTCCATATTTCTATTTCTGATGATTCATCTACAGCATCTACTTCAAGTTCTGGACGTATAATTGTACGTGAACCCGATGTAATATCTGAACCAGCTGCTGTATCAGAGTTAATCAAACAGGCTCCATCCAATTCTGAAGAACGTAGTGTACCGTTAGAATGTGTCGTAGATTACCGCTCTCAAAGTATTTCGTTTGAAATCAATGTAAGGACGGATGAAAAGGAACAGGCTTGCATATATTGTGAACAGAAAAGTGAAAGAGATAAATTAAACAGACTGCCTTTACATGTATCCAATAAAAGTGACTTTTTAGAGAAGCTAAAAATGCTACAGATTCAAAAATATATGATTATAACAACTGTCATTTAGAGTATTTTTTAGAAAATATCCTCAAATAAAAAACAACTCAAACATCCTGGCATGATCTTCGTCACCACCATCAAGCTGTTTTAACGAAGTGTGTGATTTTATTCAAGAAAATGTGATAAATAGGGGTCGGTGTTTCTTTCTTACGTATCTCCATAGATATTATATAGTGTTATTCAAAGAGGAGGTAGAACACTCCGAAGAAATGAGCGAGAATTTTGCACTGCACCATTTGGAGACTAAGATGAATAAAGCATTTAAATAAAGAAATAAAATTTGTGATCCATCAAGATAAAAAGTTACTAGCTCCAAAACATTTAACTGTTATTGAAGATAAATTGTTAGAAAACTTCAAGGACGAAGGACGATTCTCCATAAAACTGCTTTAATATATTAAGGAAATCAGTTTTGTAATCTTGAAGGAAGGAGAAGCATCAGTCCCAACAGTTGACCTAGTCGAACAATTCTGGTCAAGCTTGGTTATGATTTGGTCAATACAAATTCACGGTCATTTGAACAGAGCGCGAAAACACTTTTGAGTTGTTGGTCATTTAACATAACCACAATCGCAGTACATAACCTATACTTGAAACAATTATGAACGCAGAATATCTTGGGTACACAAATGCTGCATTAAGTGACGACGATCTTGGCGTAGTAGTTTGTAGCGATTATCTGGGAACTCAGTCAGCATGAAGCGGTCACGACCTTACTGATGCAGAGAGAAGAACATTTCAAGTCTGGCGTGTACTCTGATGATTGGATACAAAGTTATCAACTTGTGTGGTATATGCTTTATTAGTTTCATCATCCATTATAGTTATTTGTTTCATAAGTACGAAAAATGCACGTTTCCGGGACGAGGAAGGGTGGTGGTGGACGACGCGTCAGCGTCGTCCACCAACATTCCGAGTCACGGAAACGCATTTTTCGTACGAATGAAACATAAAATTTTTTCTCCAACCACTTTTTTACTTACCCAGTGTGTTTGCGCACGCTCTTGTAGTTGTCGTTTGTCGACCACTGCTTCATCTTTTGGGTGCCACTCTATTAATATTTTTTTAGGTTAAGTAGCCTCCTTATGAAAGTAAACATGAAGTAAATATCTTAGAACAATTCAATATGAACACGAAACATCTTATTTTTGCTTAATCAAATACGACAAGATGTACAATCAAGTAAGTAGCATAAACGGGTACAGTTTATTAACCTAAGATTCTCTTTAAGTGGTCGATTAATTTCGAAATTTACTGGTACAAGTACAGGAAGCATTGGAGTGCATAGAATTAGGTCTAGGATGCTGAACATCTCCTTA